GTGCCTTTTTGTGTCAGCTGTTTAACTCAAAGTATTAATGCAGTTAAATAACTACTATTACCTGCTTGAATGTGTGGCTTTCAGACATTCTCTGACCTCTCACACTTCCTGTCTTTTATAACTTGTTTGTTTTAATTTGGGTATTCATTTTAGTCTTTGAGTAAAGTATTCTTTATTTAAATTAAAATGAACTTGTCAAATTTCCATATCTGAGAAGCTTTACCAAAAAAGAAAACCCTAGGACTGTCTGGTTTAGTTATCTATGATGTTTGTAATTGCAAATTGGAAACTGGCTTTTTCTTTTGTTGAAGTGAAAAGATTAGTCACCAATTATGCAGGATATTTGGTGGAATTTTATCTTGTTAAGTTTTGAAACTTGAATATTTGTAGTATATTTTTAGACTTCAGTGTGATGTGTTTATCTCTTTAATATGAAACAGGATAGAACAATTAGAACAAAATTAAAATTCTGTGAATTGACGTTTTAGTTATTGCTTAGAATGATTGAATAAACATGTCATCAACTTCTGGAATTTATTTCTGCAAGTTGTTGAGCCATAAAGTTCAGAGAATTTAAAAAAAAGGGACTGATAACTTCTGAAGTGGTGATACAGTAGTTTTCACATTCCAAAGAGTGAAGTCTAATAAATTTGGAGAAGAATCTGGGGTATAAAGTAACTTGAAAATGGTACAGGTACAATGTCTCTTGTACTTTCAAGCAAACCTCTAGCATCGGTGGCTGGATTTAGATATACTTGTTGTTACCTGATACGAAAAAAATCCTGTTTTTATTATCAGTGACCTTTGTGCCTTTTCTATTTGAAATACTAGCATATTTCAGTTAAAACATAGATTATTTTTAGAATCAGCTTGAGAATTTTTTTCTTGTGATTGTAGTCTCTTCTTGCATCAGTTTTCAGATGTGAGAAGTCAATAAGAATGAGCTGAATGGAAACAAGCAAATCTTTTGTTGGTTTTCTTGGGGTGGTTTTTTGTGGTTTTTGTTTGGTTTTGAGCAGATGGACACCCAGTAATGGCAGCTGGTAGCCCAATTGGACACATTGCTTTGTGGGACTTAGAAGAGAAGAAACTAATGTGTCAGATGCAAGATGCCCATTCCACAGCAGTAGCTGGTATGTCGTTTGTCCCTGGAGAGCCACTTCTTATTACTAATGGTGCTGATAACGCTATACGGGTAAGTTGTAATAGCTGTTCTCTCTGCTGTTACTTTTTTCTATCTCTTGTAGTACTCCAAAGTGTAAATGTTTAATTTGGATTGCAGTAGCAGTTCTGGAATGAAACAAATACAACATTAAGTCACTGAAGTTGCTGGCTCTTGTTATCTGTAATGGGGCAGCTTAAGGATTTGCTATCGTGATGTTACTGCTTCATTTATCACTTCATGATAGCGTTGAAGAACAAAGCTTTGGATCCACTTTTCCAGAATGACACTTTATATCCTGGTGCACTATCTCAAATATTGATTTGCATTTATAATGTTCTGGGTCATGAGCAGTTGCTGTTGATAAAAGTCCCTGGTGCTGCATGCTAATGACATCAGAGGTGGATGATAGAATGAACAGTGGGAAACAATCAGCTGCTGTGGTGGAAGCTTTGAGAGTTTTAGGATCAAGGATGAAACCCAGTGTGTGAAGTTCGCTGCACCAGATCCTGGCTAAGCCTGTTGCACTGCCAAGAGATATAATTATTGTCAGAGTAATGCTTATCAGCTTAATTTTTCTGCTTTTTTGGGGGGAGGCAGGTGTGGATTTTTGATGGACCTGGTGGTACAGGACGTGTACTGAGAAGCCGAATGGGACATAGTGCACCACCAACAAAAATCAGATACCATGGGCAAAATGGAGAGCAAATTCTTAGTGCAGGTATGAATTCTCATTCTTTGGTCTGATATCCTTCTGTGATAAAGAAAACATTCAGAGCTAGGGGTTTTTGTTTTATTAATAGAATATATTATATTTCCTGTGTTACTTATGTGTAATTATGAAACATAGTAAGTGATTAGTGTAGACAGTATAATTTATTACTGTATCAACCTGTTTCATCATTGCCCTAGAGGAACATACATCAGCGAGTAGGCTGAAAAGTAGTTACAAGCAGAAAAGCTTAGGAGCTGCTTTTTTCATCCATATTTATATGTTTGATGAATAAAAATTGTTTTATTATCTTGTAAGGAACTATCAACTGGTCAAAATGAAAACCTATAACAACTAAGGAAATTCTGTTCTGACAGGGAAAAAGTAAACAGTGTAATGTATTCAGTAACTTAGAGGAGCCATTCTACTTTTCCCACTAGTTTGAGCAAGCTTTGTGGGTTGCAATGTCTTTATAATTTGTTACAGCTCAATTGTGTCTGTAATATATATTCCCAAGGTTGCTTGTTACCAATATATTAATCTAAAAGTGTAAAAATGCATGTGAGAAACTAGCATGTTTAAAAATCTATAAATATAACCCTTAGGAAATTAAATACTAGATCAGACTGTTTCGTGGCCCGGAACACTTCAGTAATGGAATAATAGACACTCTTCCCCTGATCTTTAATTACTATGAAATAATGAAATTGTCTACATGGGCAATGTTTGAAAACATTATGCTACGTTTTGATGGATATAACACCTAATATGGTACAGCAATACACTGTGCTAAAACCACCTGTGCTAAAATCTCTTGCTGGTCATCCAACTAGTAACTTGGATTCAAGTAACTGGTTACTTGACAGTAATTCAGCTCACACCAGATGAACCACAGTAACAATTAAGAGTTGCTTAAAAATCCTCACATTTGCCTTTGCAGTTTACTGCTTTAACTGTACTGAAACATATGTTGAGGGCACAGAGGCAACTACTAAAGTGAAAAGGGTCTCAAGCATTTGAGATCTGATGTATCTGCAGTGTAAGGAGACAGACTCCTTTCTGAACCAGTAGTTAAACTTTGTACAACAGAAACGAGGTAGCAATGCTGTAGGGTCCCTTTCAGGCGCTACTGGTTTCCTTAGAACAAACATCTTCACAAATTAACTTTGTAAAATTTCACCTATGTCACTGGCTTTCATCCTGCTTAATATTTCTCCTAGTTCCCAGTATATGCATCCTGCCCTACTTCTGTATCGTAGAAGCAAGGAAGGGTTGCTTGAATATTATAATTGTTCCATTGTCTCTCAGATTCTTTAAATTCATTTTGACTAATCTTCTGTTTCCTTACTTGTTTCACCTAGTAAAAATGTTTTGTCATTCTTCTGATTTTTAAAAGTCATCTCAGTGCCTTTAATTTTACATGCATTGTGCAATTTCATTTTCTGTTAGTTTCTGGTTCTGCCTTGTCCACATCCCCCACAAAGTGGCCCTGTTGGCTAATTTTAAATTTGAACCTTAGAATCATAGAATGGGTTGGGTTGGAAGGGACCTTTAAAGGTCATCTAGTCCAAACCCCCTGCAATGAGCAGGGACATCTTCAACTAGGTCAGGTTACTCAGAGCCCCATCCAACCTGACTTTGAATGTTTCCAGGGATGGGGCATCTACCACCCCTCTGGGCAGCCCATGCCAATGTTTCACCACCCTCTTTGTCAAAAATTTCTTCCTTAGATCTAGTCTAAATCTACCCTCTCCTAGTTTTAAACCATTACCACTTGTCCTGTCACTACAGGCCCTGCTAAAAAGTCTGTCCCCATCTTTGTTATAAGACCCCTTTAAGTACTGGAAGGCTGCAATAAGGTCTCCCAGGAGCCTTCTCTTCTCGAGGCTGAACAACCCCAAGTCTTTCAGCCTGTGCTCAGAGGAGAGGTATTCTGTCCCCCTGATCATTTTTGTGGCCTTCCTCTGCACCCACTCCAAGAGGTCCATGTCTTTCCTGTGCTGAGGGCTCCAGAGCTGGACACAGTAGTTTAGGTGGGGTCTCACCAGAGCAGAGTAGAGGGGCAGAATCACGTCTCTTGACCTGCTGACCACACTTCTTTGGATGCAGCCCAGGATACAGTTGGCCTTCTGGTCTGCGAGCGCACATTGCCAGCTCCTGTCCAGCTTTTCACCCACCAGTACCGCCAAATCCTTCTCAGCAGGCTGCTCTCAATCCCTTCATCCCCCAGCCTGTATTGATAGCGGGGGTTGGCTCTACCCAGGTGCAGGACCCTGTGCTTGGCCTTTTTGAACCTCATGATGTTCACACTAGTCTTCTGTCCCTCTATTAAATTAAATTAAATTCCTGTGAATTCTGTGAATGTCGGTCACTGGGTAGAGGAGGGAAGTCCTATTAATGTTCTGTTTACAGGAAAGATGGACAGCTCAACTTTTGCCATTTTTGTTTGTCTAGCTTACTGGCTAAGCACGGTGTAGTTCTTAACCATCCACTGCATGTTTTGGTTAGGCAAAGGATAAAGACAGAAATATTTTAGTTGGTGAGGGAGTATATGGGGTCATGGAAAAGTTTGGAAGTATTATGGAGATACTTGAAGGACATACCAGCTTATTTAAGGTTTTAATCATCAAAAGCTAGGAAAACAGCTAGATACTGTGTGTAGAAAGGAAGAGGCACAGAATAATTGAACATGGAGAAATGTCTGTAAAAGAGGTGTCATTCTAGTGATGTGTGGGGCAAAGTAATAGGAATGAGATACAGGATGTAGAAAATTAGTGTCCATTAGTTCTGCTACTTAAAAGTATTTGGTTTTGTTTCTTGGACCAGAATTTTTAGTAAATACTTTATTACAGTGTTTGAGGTTTCTTAGTGCTAATCTTCTGCTTTTCTTTCTTAGATAGGTTATGAGTAAACACAAAGTTGATTTTTGCCCTTCTATGTTCTCTGCTAATATTTTGTCAGGCCAAGATGGAACATTGCAGTCTTTTTCAACAGTGCATGAAAAGTTCAATAAAAGCTTAGGACGTGGTAAGTATTTCAGTGAAAGTACAAATATTGGTGAAAAAAGCCCAGAAAAGTATTTATGTAAACAGTGGCTAAAACATTAGGCCTTATTTTCACTTGAACTGTTGTATGAAAACTACTCATCTTAGTTGTTCTGCAAATTCAGTCCTTCCTGATATATATAAAATTGTAGTCTCAGATTTGTTTGTACTTAAGAAAAGTAATATCTGTAGCCTGACAGTGTATATTATTTCACTGTGGGGAACACTGGGCATGATTTTTCTATTTAAACTGCATAAAGCAGTAGCTGACGTTTCAGCGTGCTTAACTACAGCTTTTTACCCCATTCCCATTCTATTCAATTGACTAAATTACTAGTTAATTTATATTTCTTGACTTTAGTTCCTTTGACTTAATTTAGAGTTTAGTGTAAACACATTTTCCACACAATGCAATAAGCACTTTCTTGTACAGTTCAGACAGCAAGGCTCAGAAAGACTAAAATAATTCTTACTTTTAAATATCCTTATCTATATATTGATATATATGTATTTAGATAGATTTGAATAGGCAGTTGTAGATTAATTGATTATATATCTCCTTTGGGCATAAATTTGAGATTCCTGACTCTTTGATTATTGAAAGGTCTGGGTGTTATATATTGCTTTATCTAGTCGTGTCTGTATGCCTATGGTTTTAGCTGTGATGGGGGGACCTCTGCCTCAGGTTGTCAACACAAGATCCTGGAACAAATGTGTTGAGTAGTACATCTGTGAATGTAATAGGACGGTGATGTACTCACCATCACATTAATTTTGACAGGAACTCTGTTAATATTTTTAGCTCTTCAAACTGCAAGTAACAGCAGTGCTGTGTTAACATAAGTCAATTTTATTAAGTTTAATAGGAAATCTACATTTAGTAAACAGTCCTTTTGAAACCATTATTCTCAGACCTAGCCATGAAATTGAAACACTTCTTTTTTTTTTAAGGTTCCATTAACAAAAAAAAATCAAAAAAGAAAGGTCTTAAGCTTGATACGATGGCACTTCCACCAATTACAGTCTTTGCTTCAGGTAAGTAGTCTTTGAGATACATCACAGAGCTCATCATGTCTTCATTTTGCGTTCTAACCCTCGAGATACTACTGTTTTGAAAGCCCATGCTGTATCAAGCTGAAATTATTAAGATTCTGTGGCCCTTCATAAGCTGTTGAGTGACAGTTTAAAATGATACTTTACTTGGTAAACTTTTCTATTATTTCAAAAAAGAGCATTTTATTTCAAAAATGTCTTTATGTTTAACTGTCTCTTGGCTTGCAAATCTCCAGCACAGGAGCCAGAATCTTCTGGTGTACATATTCTAGGCTGGAGAATCAGCAATTAGGGGGCATGAAGGTCTTTGTCAAATGAGGAAATCTTAGTTACAGTAGTTGATTTTGATTCCCCAGTTCCTTTATTTTAGTCACTTTTTGAAGTCAAATTTCAATTACTCTGTTCAGTTGTAATTCAGTATGTGAATAGTGAACCTAACTTTCTGAAGCAGGAGTGCAATTATCTTTGCTTCATCAAAATGTGTTTCTTTAATGACCTCCTCTTCAGACTGGAAGTCTGTTGTCTTATGTGTAGCTATTCTTTTGTCTTCCGAGGATGATTGATCGTTTCATATGTTGAAAGGTTTGGATTTACAATCTTGTGTACCTGTATGATTACATGTCATATTTATAATTGCAGATTTCAGTGATACAGACAATCTGTACATCCTTGTTGCAAATATGTGTGTGTGTGTATATAAAAATGCACTTCTAAATTAATATTAGACCTGCCTGATTGATTTAAGGTAGTAGAACTACCTTACCTGTGTTTAGAGACATAAGAAAACATTTATTTAAGTACATTTTAATTAGTAGTTTGGTTTTTGCTAGGTTGTCTTTGGTGAAATGAACCAGTTTGTATCTGATTATTTCATTCTTTGAAGTTCTAGAAATACCCAATTTCAAGGTCTCAATTTTTTCTTTTTAATGTATACATACCAGGAAAAGAAGAGCAAACTTGCTCATTATTTAGATTCCCATATGTCATATTTGACTACAAAGTTTGGATACTGAGCTTCTGAGGAATGATTTTCCTACAATTACAGAAAAGTCTTTTGCTATGTGAAGCAGACTTATCTCTTAAACCCTTCTTTTCATTGTTAATCTAGTGGCTTCTGCTGCTTCAGCAGCTGAAGAAACAGTTAAGAGACTCAGCTGGAAATATGTACAGATTGAGCAGTTTAAACCACTTAAGTTTAAATATGCTTTTCAAACCATATAGATTCAAGTACAAAAAGACATGAAACATACCAAAAAAAATGCTTGTGGTTTTGTTAGCATTTTAGTTACACTAGCATATGCACAGTGGTTTACCAGGTGGTTTTTCTGAATGGTAGCCTTTTGACTGCCCAACAAGAACAATAAATATGAACTGTTCTGTCTAAAGGTATCTTAGGATATCAGAATAGCTTATTTGACTTTGGAATGATTGTTTCTAAAAGGAAATGTGTTACATGTGTTACATGTTACAATGTGTTACATTGCAGAAGTGGCACATCAGAGTGACTGGGATAGTATTGTTGCCTGCCATCAAGGCTATATAACCTGTACAACCTGGAACTATCAGAAAACTTCCATGGGAGCTCATAAACTGAGGCCAGAAGAATTTAGCAAACACAAACCTATTGATATATGTGCAACAGTAAGTTTACTTGGGGTAATGCTGCTTCAGCATATGTATATGCTATTTTGATTTCTATTTTTAGAGAAGCAATATTTAGAATGTAAAAGCACTATCTAGACTAGATGTGTTCTAGTTGCTTTGCAAAGTGTTTTCTGCCAGCTTAGTGTGTCCTACTAGCTGTTTTGTAATACATAAGGTCTTAAGAAAAAAGCTGCATATGCGTTTTTTCCTTAAACATCCAGGTTAAGTGCAGATTTTATTTTCTGATTCAGATAGGTGGTTGGTGTTTACCTTTTATCTGTCATAGTGATGTAGAGTTGACTATATGCCTGTGATGATCAGCTTGCTCTGTGAATGCAAATTGCTGAAGATGCTTTTTTTTGGCAATACGGAAAAATGTATTTCCGAATTGCAGGCAGAATATTCCTTCTAAAATGCTTTACAACTTGAACTGGACACAATGAAAGTCAAACACTCAACAAAAGAGATATAAATGTTACGGAAGCTTACGAGCTTGCAAGACAGGTAGTTACTGTTGCATACTTCTTGTGTTAGGCATTCACACTACTACTGTGTCTTGTGAAAAATTGTTTTTCTGACCTTATGCTTAGTAGTTAAGTGGTAGACAAGATCAGTTCAGTTGTAAATACCTGTTTTTCTTTAACGGCTAGATTCTTTGGACTTTATCTTTCAAAGACATCTAGACCATTGTTTCTTTGTTTCTTACTGTTTAGACTGTGTGAATTTACCCTATTTTGGGGTGCCATTGGCAATACGAGCATTGAAAGAGGCATGCAGTCGGCCTTAGGGATTGAATTTGTGGGTGTCTTGACTATATAGATTAGTCATTTAGGTTACAGTGTTGATGTTAGATATGACTTCTTATCGCTGTGACTAAGTCAGTATTTCATTATCCTTCATAAACATGCACTCCCATCTACTTACTGGCTATTTGCTTATTTTAAGAGTTCCTCAGTCTACTTTTTTGAGATGTAATCTGTTGTTTTGTGCAATTTTCTTGAAGAAGTCTAATAAAAACATAGTAGTATTTTGTATTCCTGATATGTTATATATCTTCTAACAACTTTGCTAATTAAATATACACTTAAAAAATTGTTTTCATAGGTGGGTTTTCTTTTTTTTCCCCTTGAAAGGCAGTTGACATTACCTCATGTGGGAACTTTGCTGTAATTGGGCTGTCAACTGGACAGATAGATGTATATAACATGCAGTCTGGCATTCACAGAGGGCGTTATGGCAAAGAAAGAGGTGAGAACTGCTACACTTTTAAAATAGGAATGCTTAACAGAACAGCAATAACCTAGTGTTCTGTCATGTAGGAAACTTAACATAGCTTCTGAGTTGAATTTGGGAATCTTTTCAGTTTCTCTAATTACAGTGCAAGATAGGACAGTGTAGGGTAATCAGAAGTAATTTGAAACCTACTCTGAAGGACAGGATCCTTGCTAGTTTTAACTGCTCTGATGTTAGCATATGTTTGGTTTTAATTAAGACAAAATTGTTAGTTACCAAAATGGTTAGCACTAAAATGTGATCTTCTGGCCTCATCTCTTTTTGAGATAATCACATTTCCAGTGCTTGGCTTCTTGCTATAGGGTTCTATCCCAGAGAAAAATTTTCCTATACATATTGTCTTTGCTACTTAAAAATGAAAAAATACTTTACGTGCATGGGAAATTGAAATCATAAGGAAGTCGAGATCTTTGCATATGCTATTATTTTCAGTTACCCAGCTGCAAACTTAGGACTTAATGTAAGTGTCAGACTTTTCCTTTTAACAGTTGCATACATATACATTTCATGTCATGTATCCTCATGTATGCTTGCTGTTGCTTCGTAAGTCTGCAATTTGTAATAGGGCCCTCATGATCTGAATTTTTTGTTGTAGAAACAAAGTGTCCGGATGAACCATTAAACTTTACTGAGTTTCTAAAAGCCATCTAGCACAGCAAACATGAAGTGGTCATCTTATAATGCCATTGCTTGTTAGTGGGATGAATTTCATAAAAGTTTGGTAACTCACCAGTAGCCCTAGGCATAGATTAAGAAATAAAATTGATTCAAAACCAGAGGAGCTATGCCTTATCTTTACACTGCAGTGTAAAGTAGCCTAGGAGGACTCCCAGACTTTGTGCCATAACTGAAGCTGTAAATTTTGTCTGGAGAGGTCAGACCCTCTGGACGCATTCCATAAGTGATTCAAAAAATGCCTAAATCTCACATTCAGAAAAAGCTCCCCAAACTGAAATCAGAAATAAAAGCTAATATTCAGCTTCAATTACTCAAAACTTTTGTATTGTATTCTAGGTGCTTACTTGAAAGTAATTTGATTTCTGTACTGATAAAGAAACTTCTAATACTTGAGCAGTCTTGTCAGGTGGCTTTAGAATTGTCACATGCTTACTGGTCATTTAGTGTATTTAGGCAAAGGCATACAAAATAGTGTTTGGCATTCTGCTGATTTCCATGCTGTGTTTAAATTCTGAAATGCAACTTTCTTGTCCCTTGATTTGCAGCACATGAGGGGGCCATAAGGGGAGTAGCAGTGGATGGATTAAACCAGCTGGTAATCACAGCTGGTAGTGAAGGATTAATTAAATTTTGGAAATTCAAAACTAAAAATCTAGTGTACTCCACTGAGCTTTCTTTTTCCCCAAGTGGAATCCTGCTTCACAGAGACAGGTAAGAAACTGAAGCAATGTCATGTGCATATTGTTTTTCTCTAAGTACATAAGTCTAGGATGGCAACCAAATATTCTAATAAAGTTTAAATTCCTGATGTTTTGGAATACAACTGACTACTAATTGACAGAACAAAATGACTACAAGACATTTATTAGACTGAAGGAATATAATAGTGTTTATCTGAGATTACCTCAGGATGAAAATTTTTGGAGCAATGTTAAGAGGTTGTTTTTATTTTTTTTCTCTTCACTATCATATGTGCTAATGATTCTTGGCAGTGGTATTCTGGGAATTGCCTTTGATGACTTCAGTATTAGTGTTTTGGATATAGAAACCAGGAAGATTGTCAGGACGTTCTCGGGACACCATGGACGGATTAATGACATGGTAATTGTTAACTCATTTTCTGTGACAGGTGACATATACAAATAGCTAATTCATATTAAAGATGGTGGATTTCTCTGCATATATTAAGTTGCTGAGTATTATGTTCAGCTGTTGAGTAGTTGTAGTTCAGCTCTACAGCAGTTTTGGCGACGTTAGTTTTCAGGTTAAGAGGTATACTGTTCAAATGGCCATGTATTTTTAGTGTACTTTGGGATTTTATTCTACCTTTGCAACAAGCTAATTTTGTGTAACAAAATAAAGTATTAGGAATAATGAAAACCATGTTGAGGAGCAAAATTGTGCAATAGTCTTTATACAGAACTGGTATATATAGAAAAGATGAGCCAGGTAAATAAAAGGTGTAAACAGATCTGAGGTTATGCAATGCACTGATAATTCCTTATTTTACACCTTGTGTAATAGTGCTTTGTAGTGTTCATTGAAATAGTTTTTAGCTTCTGATTTAATTCTAAGTGCTAGTAAGCAAGTATTTGATTTCTTCAGTTTTATGCTCAGTGGTTTTCATTAACGTAAAAGCGAGGACCAAAGTGCTTTTACTAACAACCAGATGTATCCTGTGTCATATATTTAAACCTGTTCTGAAGTAGCTTCCATTTTTGTCCTTTTCTCACTTTCAATACGATGATGTCAGTTTTGTTTTATGGCCAGGCCATTTCATCCTGGTGTTAGGGAGCACTCTAATCTTGAACTGCGTAAAACAGGACCTCGTG